ACATTTTTATCCTTTTTTCAGATGTCTGCGCTTATAGATTGCATCCAATTTTATTGCATATGTGCAGTGACAGTAAAGATATTATTATTATGTTGATATGGTCTCATATGGGGGGTCATGATAACCCTGTTAGTGTTTTAAGATAAGATCTGGTGTCAGTTGTAGTTTAATAGAATTGTCTTCCAACCGGCCCTGTGCTGTTCGATGCTGGGATCTGTTCTGAGTCAGTAAAAGCCTGGAGAGAGATCAAAGATCAAAGAGTGATATTCATCAACATGTGGCCAGCTGTAACTGTGAATTAAATGCGATGACACCAACTGAGCTCAAGAAGTGCAGAACACCTATCATATAGACCAAATACACCTATCATAGTTTATATGTTAAACTTCAACATATAAACTACTCGTGTGTCATACTGAAACGTTTGGTGGGATTCCAGTAAATACAGCTCCAGTATTCCTTTTAACCTAGAGGTATGAGCAGGAGAGCAATGTGTCATGACTTAGCAAATTCTGAACATTTTAGTGACCAATAAATCACTGTGATTTTTACTTTCCACAATAATAAGTTTCCACAATAAAACACACCTTTCAGGTTTTCAAGTATTTTGAAATTGGTTTTTTTGGACACCTGGAGTGTAAATGTGCCTGTTTCTAAAACCCTATGGATTGTCTTCTGTTCCGTCTGTAGACATGACAATAAACACAAAAAGGTTCTGCTATTTTTATAGAGCAGGTTTGAGATATATTTTTTTCATTTCCAAAAAAGTAATACATATTTTACATATTGGAATTAAAGAATAGCAACAAAATATCCATCCTATTGAGCCAGTATTGATTCCATCCTAATGCCTGCCTATCGATACTATCAATATATGGATAGAGAAAATCGGAAAAAAAAAGCAACATTTGAATGAATGAATAGAAAAGTTTCTAGTTAAAGAACAACTTACAAAACCAACATTTTATCTCCAAAGTCCGTTGGATCCTCCTTGGTTCTCAGCTGCTGTATCTTGTGTGTCTCAGGTGGATTTTGAGCTGGAGTCCCTGATGGAGAGGAAGGAGGAGGAGCGGGAGGAGCTGATGGATTGGTGGAAGATGATGTCAGAGACACTGAACTTCTAACACGTTTGTCTCGCTGACGATCGGAGCGTCCACAATTCGATGCAATATAGTCAACGTTCTGTGTGCCCGTCCGCTCTGAAAAAGAATATATTGTCTCTTCTTCTACTTCTTACTTTTGATTGTGTTCTCTCCATTCTTACTTTAATTAATTTTGTTGTTTATTAATGTAAGAGTTTGCCTCACACTCCTGTAGATTGTTTGAATATCCTGCGCGCGCAGT